ATAAACTCTTCCAGTGTCTCAGTGGGGAATTGTCCTTTCTCTCTCATCTTCTTCTCATAGTGCTCAGTTGCCTCCCAGACAGCTGCCTTGTTCTCCATCTCCGATATACTCATCACAGCATCCTCCATACACATAGCAGTGGAAGAAGTGATGGCTTCTGTGTACTTATACACTAGCTGCCCCAGTACTATACATAGGAAATATATAAAAGAGAATATGTGTGAGTTTACTTGAGTAAACTCTCAACCAATATTATAAAAAAGAACCATCTTTAGTGTATTTTTTTTTCTGACAGTTACCTGCGCCTACATCTGCAATTCTTACCTTGCCTTAGAATTATGCAAGCTTGGCCTTCCCCTTGTCCACCCACAGCCTCCTGGGATATGCCACAAGTCCTAGGAGGCTGTGGTTTCCAGTCCTTGGGGGAGCCGGCCATGCAACATCAGGAAGTCAAACCCAGACCCCATATTGAAGCTGGGGCTGGATCCACAGTGTAGTTAAGGATCAGTTTCAGTGAAGACAGCACTAAACTCCATGGGCTGTTAACTGTTGTTTAAAAGTCAGCAGCTACAATATTTAAGTTGCTGACTTTTCATTTTTTTATAACAGTACCTAAGTTCCTCTTTAAACACATAGTTCATGCACAGTATCCTCACTTCCTATCATAAACAATGTGCAGCATTGTTCGAAGGTTAAAGTAAAAGCCTCTCTTCCTCTATCCTTCTTTTTTTTCATGCCTACCTTCCTTTCCTTCCTCTCCATCCCTTCTCCACCTCTCATTCCGCTCGATCTTTTCTCTTTCCCAATCCCTCTCTATTTCTCCTTTCTACACTACATCTCTCACTCCCTTACCCTCCTTTCCCTCTCCCCCTCCCCCTCTATTCTATTCTCCTTCTCCATGTCTCCATCTTTCTCTTCTCCATCTCTTCCCTTTCCTTCAGTACCCCTTCTCTCTACCTCTCTCTTCTTCATCTATTTTTTCTCCCTTCCTCCTCTCCATCTTTATTCTTTTGCTCCTTCTCAATCTCTCCCTCACTCCTTCCCAGGGGCCCTCTCCATCTTTTATTCTTTTGCTCCTTCTCAATCTCTCCCTCACTCCTTCCTGATCTCTCTCCCTCTCTCTCCATCTCTTCCCATCTCCCTCACTCCTCCACTTCTCAACCTCTCTCTTCTCCATCTCTTCTCCTCTACCTCACTCCTTCTCAATATTTCCCCCTCTCCCTCACTTCTTCTTCTCAATCTATCCCCTTCTCCCTCACTCCATCTTTTCCCCTCTCCTCACTCCTCCATCTCTCCTCCTCTCCCTCCCTCTTCTCTCATCTCTTCTTCTATCACTTCTTCTCAATCTTTCCCCCTCTTCCTCACTCCTTTTCCATCTCTTCCCCTCTCCCTTACTCCTTCTCAATTTCTCCCTCTTTCTTCTCCATCTCTCCTACTCTCCCTATCTTCTTCTTTCATTCCTTCTCCATATCTCCCTCACTCCTCCATCTCTCTTTTCTCCATCTCGTCCTCTCTCCCTCATTCCTTCTCCGTCTCTAATCCCCTCCCTTCCTCCTTCTCCATCTCTAATCCCCCTCCCTTCCTCCTTCTCCATCTCCTTTTTTATTTCACTCCTTTTCTCTCCCTCTCTCCTCTCTCTCTCCTCCTCAATCTCTCGCCCTCATTTCATTATTCTCCTTTCTCCTTCGGGCCCTTCCTCCCACACCCCCTTGTTGTTTCCTCTTCCTCTCCTGTTCTTCCTCTCTCTGTGTTTACATTCATCACCTTCCTTCCTTCCTTCCTTCTACTTCTCTCCTTTTTCTTATCTGTCTCCCATCTCTCCTCCTCTCCCTTCCTCCCTCCCCATCTTTTCTTTTACCACTTCTTCTCAGTCTCTCCCTCACTCCTTCCTGATCTGTCCCCCTCTCCCTTACTCCTTCTCCATGTCTTCCCCTCTTCCTCACTCCTCCATCTCTTCACCTCTCTCTTCTCCATTTCTTACCCTCTCCCACACACCTTCTCTATCTCTTCCCCTCTCCCTCATTCCTCTCCATTTCTCCTCCCCTCCTCCTTCTCTTCTTATTGCACTCCTTTTCAATATCTCTCTCACTCCTTCCCAATCTCTCCCCCAATCCATTCTTCTTCTACTCTCTCCTTCAGGCCCTTCTTCCCACACCCCCTCACTTTTTCCTCTTCCTCTCCTGTTCTCTCTATGTGTGTACATCCATCTCCTTCCTTCCTTCTACTTCTCTCATTTTTCTTATCTACCTATTTGTTTCATTTCCTTCCTCCTATCCCTTCTGCTTCTGACAAGTCTTCCCCTCCCCCCTCCTTCCCTCACCCATTATTTCTTTCTCCTTCCCTCTTGTTCCTTCTCCATCTCCATTGCCCCCTCACTCATCCTTTTATCTCTCTTTAAGTTTTTCCTTCTATTCCTCCCCCTTTTCTCCCTCATCTTGTCTCCCTGTTCCTTCTCTTCTTCTTGCTTTCTCTCTCTCTTTTTCATCTTTTCTTCCTCTTCTTCTACTCTCTTATGGCAGATACACTTACTTTCTCCAAACACAAGTATATGTCATCCAAATGTTTAACTTCAGCGTTTTTATAAATGTATTCACAGAATTTCTGACACTGAGCCATGAAGCTAGGGGTGAGCTCTTCCTCTGAAACCTCATCCATCCTCTGAAGAACCTTTTTATCTCCAGACGGAGGGTCAAACACAAAACATTTGCGGGTGTTGCAATACATCCGAATGGCGTCTCTGCTCCGATTGCGCTCTTGTATCTTTGAGTTCTCCTCTGTACCCTCCACTTGAAAGAACAGAACAATGCAAAATCAGAAACACAACAAAAATATTGGCCATAAGAAGAAAAAACATCATAAAATAGAGATTTTTCTTCACTTCCTGTCCTGGAAGTACAATAGAAAATGAGAAGATGTCTCCCCAAAACTAATGAAGTTCCCATCTTGGAGAGTTTTCATAGGAACATGTATCCCATTGGAGGATTTTCTTTAACATCTAACCCTTATCTACTCTTTCCAAAAAAAAAAGTGTTTTTAACTACACTTAAAATCTGTATTAGCTTTCAGCCAGCCAAGTCAAGCCTGCACTGGAAACTGACGGTTGACGAATATCTTAAATTCACAGTTAAAAACAACTCAAATTCTAACTGAAACCTGATGACATAACCATTTATCAAAACAAAGGCATTTTGAGAAATAAATGTATGTCACACTTCATTTTATCAAACCCATTGACACCCAACCTGCAACAGTAGCTGACTTATTACTCACGTTCCTCAAGTAGCAGAGCGTTCTCCAGGTACTCCTCCTCTGTGATCTCCTTTCCATCCGACTCCAGCATCAAGGTGAAATCTCTCACCACCCAGATGAATGCGGGAAAGTGTCTGGAGAACTGCCCCTCGTTATTCTCATTATCATTAGATTTTATCTTAATCATTTCAGCCAGCTCCCCCACAAAACTAATTTTGAGTTAAGGATGTACAAGTCATGTCTTTGTCTTTGAAGGTCCTGTACCTTAAACCTGGCACAACTCTGGCAGTTCAGGCAGTTCAGACAGAATGTCAAACGATCAGTCTACTAAAAATTTTCAATGAATGCTTGTAAGAGGGTGTTAGAACAGTTCCAAGTTCTGCCATCAGTTGGAATCCTGAGCAGTGCGGAAATAGAGGGGAATTTGAGTGGAGAATTAGAGAGCAGAGGAGGCAGTTGTGGATCTAGCTCCCATGGAACTATAGTAGGTGGAGCTCTTTTGGTAGACATGTAGCCCCTGAAGTAAGAGGTGCAGTGATAAGCAAGGTGCAGTGATAATGTATGTGTGCTAGTTATGGTGAATGAAATACTACACTCACCAGCCATTTTATTAGGTCCACCTGTTTAATTGCTTTGTAACACAAATTGCTAATCAGCCAATCACATGGCAGCAACTCAATGCATTTAGACATCTAGACATGGTGAAGACGACTTGCTGAAGTTCAATCCGAGCATTAAAATGGGGAAGAAAGGGGATTTAAGTGACTATGAATGTGGCATGGTTGTTGGTGCCAGACGGGCTGGTCTGAGTATTTCAAAAACTGCTGAACTACTGGGAGTGTCAGGGCTCCGGGGTATGACCAGAGGTATGTGACTGACGCAGGGAAACGCAGGCTTCAGATAAGTTATAAACAATATAATTTATTCAAGACTAACAATACAAACATAAACGCAGTGCAATACTAAAACATAACACAGTGCAAACGAACCAAACCACCCACAGATAACAATACATACAATGCAAGCGTCGTCAGGCAGGCCGGGTCAATAACAAACGGGCAGGTAGGAACAGGAGGAGCAGGCAGAGTGTAGTCAGGTCACGAGCCGGGTACAGCAACTAACAGGCAGGTAGGTACAGGGGGGTCAGGCAGAGAATGGTCGGGGTCACAAGCCAGGGATCAGAACAGGAGAAGTCAGCAGAGGTCCAGATCAAGCAGGGTCAGCAACAAGACAGGAACAGGAACAGGAACAGGATGCAGGAACAAGATACAGGGCCCAGGAAAAACACACACACCAAGGCAGAGTCTGCAGGTCTGGCCATCCCTTAAATACACCTGCATAAGCAGTTTCAGGTGTTTGGCTGGCTGCAGGGTTGAGTCTCTGATTGCTGGGAGCACCTGCTGGCCAGCCCTGGTACTGCAGCCCATAAGGCAGGTGAGTCCCACCATTGCTGGCCAGTCCATTCCTGACAGTACCCCCCCCCCCCCTCAAGGAGCGGCCTCAGGACGCTCCAAACAGTCCTAGCTGGGCAAAATGTTCCACCGCCTGGGTCTGGTAACTGGCGGGATATCAAAGACTGGCACACCGGGCAGGACTCCGGGCAGCAGGACTCCGGGCAGCGGCACACCGGGCAGCGGCACATCGGGCAGCGGCACATCGGGCTGGACTCCGGGCAGAGGCACATCGGGCTGGACTCCGGGCAGAGGCACATCGGGCTGGACTCCGGGCAGAGGCACATCGGGCTGGACTCCGGGCAGCGGCACATCGGGCTGGACTCCGGGCAGAGGCACATCGGGCTGGACTCCGGGCAGAGGCACATCGGGCTGGACTCCGGGCAGAGGCACATCGGGCTGGACTCCGGGCAGAGGCACATCGGGCTGGACTCCGGGCAGAGGCACATCGGGCTGGACTCCGGGAATAGGCACATCGGGCTGGACTCTGAATCACCAGGTGGAGCGGTGGGCGCCGGGCCACCAGGCGGAGCGGCGGGCGCCGGGCCCTCAGGCGGGGCGGCGGGCCCCCCAGGCGGGGCGACAGGCATTGGGCCCCCAGGCGGGGCGACAGGCATTGGGCCCCCAGGCGGGGCGACAGGCATCAGGCCCCCAGGCGGAGCAACAGGTCTCGGGCCCCCAGGTGGAGCAACAGGTCTCGGGCCCCCAGGCGGAGCGGCGGGCGCCAGGCCCCCAGGCGGAGCGGCGGGCGCCGGACCCCCAGGCGGAGCGACAGGTCTCGGGCCCCCAGGCGGAGCGGCGGGCGCTGGACCCCCAGGCGGAGCGACAGGTCTCGGGCCCCCAGGCGGAGCGACAGGCACCGAGTCACCAGGCACGATAGTGGGCTCCGAGTCAACTGGCATGACCGCGGGCACTGGGTCAGACATTGGATCGTCTGGCTGGACAGCGGGCATCGGGTCACCAGGCATCAGGTCATTTGGCTCGACAGCGGGCACCGAGTCATCTGGCAAGGCAGTGGGCACCGAGTCACCAGGCACGACAGTGGGCTCTGAGTCAATTGGCATGACCGAGGGAACTGGGTCAGACATTGGATCGTCTGGCCCGACAGCGGGCATCGGGTCACCAGGCATGACAGCGGGCACTGGGTCATCAGGCATGGGGTTGTCTGGCTCGACAGCGGGCATCGGGTCACCAGGTATGACAGCGGGCACTGGGTCACCAGGCATCAGGTCATTTGGCTCGCCAGCGGGCACCGCGTCATCTGGCACCGAGTCACCAGGCACGACAGTGGGCTCCGAGTCAACTGGCAAGACTGCGGGCACCGAGTCAACTGGCGGAACAGCAGGCATCGAGTCGTCTGGCAAGACTGCGGGCACCGAGTCAACTGGTGGAACAGCGGGCTTCGAGTCGTCTGGCAAGACTGCGGGCACCGAGTCGTCTAGCAAGACTGCGGGCACCGAGTCAACTGGCAAGACTGCGGGCACCGAGTTGTCTGGCAAGACTGCGGGCACCGAGTTGTCTGGCAAGACTGCGGGCACCGAGTCATCTGGCAAGACTGCGGGCTCTGAGCCGTCTGGCAAGACTGCGGGCTCCGAGTCGTCTGGCAAGACTGCGGGCTCCGAGTCATTTGGCAAGACTGCGGGCACCGAGTCGTCTGGCAAGACTGCGGGCTCCGAGTTGTCTGGCAAGACTGCGGGCTCCGAGTCGTCTGGCAAGACTGCAGGCTCCGAGTCATCTGGCAAGACTGCGGCCTCTGAGTCGTCTGGCGGAACAGCGGGCACCGAGTCGTCTGGCGGAACAGCGGGCACCGAGTCGTCTGGCAAGACTGCGGGCTCCGAGTCGTCTGGCAAGACTGCGGGCTCCGAGTCGTCTGGCAAGACTGCGGGCTCCGAGTCAACTGACGGAACAGCGGGCATCGAGTCACCTGGCATGATAGGATCATCAGGCTGCATCAGTTCATCAGGCCGGATCAGTTCATCAGGCTGGGTACAGACCTCAGGCTGGGTACAGACATCAGGCTGAAGTGCGGGCGCCGAGGCACCAGGCTGAACCACGGAAGGCAGGTTCTCAGACGGCAGGCTCTCACCGGTTTGGATACTGGCAGGATGGTATTGGTTGGAAAGAATTTTCGCTTTTTTTCTGGTTTTAACTACTGGAGCACTGCAAGTAAACGCAGGTCTGCAAACGAATGGAGCAGCTGGAGACAGAGAGAAGAGCCGGAAGATGGAACAGGGGAGGGAACAGTTGCTACAGAGGGCTTCTTTACAGGGTTAAAGGCAGGATAGGTGCAGCGAGTGGGAACAGGGTACTGACATGCGGTAGATAGCCAAGTATACTGGGCTGTAACTGGAGGTGCTTGGGAATGCAGGAATAGAGCTTTGAAGAAATAGATTAGAAGCAGGACTGGGTTTTTGCAAGCTGACTGAGGCTGGGTGCAACAAATCTGTCCATGTCTGCAGTATGGGTTGAACAAAGCTCAGCTTACACAAAGCCTGTCTGACCAAAGACTGCACTGCGTTTATACAATCTCTTAGTACCTGTTGTGAACATGCAGAATAACGCTCCAGAAAGTAACCCACATCATCCTCTAATAACCCATACCAGGGACTCTACCTGGTCTGCACTAAATGGTGGCAAAAATTCATCCCTGCATTCGGGGGTACCAGATGAAACCAACTCAGCACAAACCTGAATCAATGGCTGCACCTCAGAGAATTCTGTGCCCTGATCTACTAGGCAATGAGCGATCCGTATACATTCTAGTAGATGATCCCGGGGATACTCCTTCAGAGTTTGATAAGCAAACTCTCTGTCATCAAACACTAGCAGAGATAAATACACAACCTCGTCAAGATCCATCCTTCCCAGCAACAAGCCAAGATGGCTTCCCTGTGCAGCCACTTCTGGTCAGGATTGGCCTTGGTGTAATGTCAGGGCTCCGGGGTATGACCAGAGGTATGTGACTGACGCAGGGAAATGCAGGCTTCAGATAAGTTATAAACAATGTAATTTATTCAAGACTAACAATACAAACATAAACGCAGTGCAATACTAAAACATAACACAGTGCAAACGAACCAAACCACCCACAGATAACAATACATACAATGCAAGCGTCGTCAGGCAGGCCGGGTCAATAACAAACAGGCAGGTAGGAACAGGAGGAGCAGGCAGAGAGTAGTCAGGTCACGAGCCGGGTACAGCAACTAACAGGCAGGTAGGTACAGGGGGGTCAGGCAGAGAATGGTCGGGGTCACAAGCCGGGGATCAGAACAGGAGAAGTCAGCAGAGGTCCAGATCAAGCAGGGTCAGCAACAAGACAGGAACAGGAACAGGATGCAGGAACAAGATACAGGGCCCAGGAAAAACACACACCAAGGCAGAGTCTGCAGGTCTGGCCATCCCTTAAATACACCTGCATAAGCAGTTTCAGGTGTTTGGCTGGCTTCAGGGTTGAGTCTCTGATTGCTGGGAGCACCTGCTGGCCAGCCCTGGTACTGCAGCCCATAAGGCAGGTGAGTCCCACCATTGCTGGCCAGTCCATTCCTGACAGGGAGATTCATGCACCACCATCTCTAGGGTTTACAGAGAATGGTCCAAAAAAGAGAGAATATCCAGTGAGTAGTTGTGTGGAGGAAAATACCTTGTTGATGTCAGAGGAGAATGGGCAGACTGGTTCAGCTGCAACATTCAGAGGGTATGGTCAGAATCTGGCGTAAACAACATGAAAGCATGAGAGCATGGATCCATCCTGCCTTGTATCAACAGTTCAGGCTGGTGGTGTCATGGTGTGGGGGGGGATCCATCCTGCCTTGTATCAATGGTTCAGGCTGGTGGTGGTGGTGTCATGCTGTGGGGGGATCCATCCTGCCTTGTATCAACAGTTAAGGCTGGTGGTGGTGGTGTCATGGTGTGGGGGATCCATCCTGCCTTGTATCAACAGTTCAGGCTGGTGGTGGTGTCATGGTGTGGGGGATCCATCCTGCCTTGTATCAATGGTTCAGGCTGGTGGTGGTGGTGTCATGGTGTGGGGGATCCATCCTGCCTTGTATCAATGGTTCAGGCTGGTGGTGGTGGTGTCATGGTGTGGGGGATCCATCCTGCCTTGTATCAACAGTTCAGGCTGGTGGTGGTGGTGTGTCATGGTGTGGGGGATCCATCCTGCCTTGTATCAACAGTTCAGGCTGGTGGTGGTGTCATGGTGTGGGGGATCCATCCTGCCTTGTATCAATGGTTCAGGCTGGTGGTGGTGTCATGGTGTGGGGGAGATTTACTTGGCACTAGCCAAGGTGGAGCTAATAAAGTGTCCGGTGAGTGTATATTGCTGTCTCAGGAAGAGGAGGTCTTCGCTAACAAAAATATGGCAGGAGGCCTGTTAGCACCATACAAAGAGGCTACATTGTACCTACATCTTCTTGGCATTTCCTGCATGGTGACCACGCATTCCTTTTATTTTTTTGGATCATCGAAGCGGAGGTGACGCAGAGCAGAAGTTGGATGATGACACAGGGAGTTACTATGCTTACTATATTCATTATGAAATTGTATCAGTGATCTTTTTTGTTGTTTGGGTGACATAAATAAACTTTACCTTTGTAACCACCATCTTAAAAAAATATAATAACTGCTTTTTTTTTTTTTTTTTATCTTAAGTTAATATATTTTTAACTGCCATTTTAATTTTTTTTTACCTAGTGAATAAAATGTTTAATCTATGAGTAAATATTTAATACGGGCTACATCTATGACACTGGGCAATGCTGCAATTCTTTTTACATTTGGGTTCCTCTCTGACAGCTGAAACATTAAAGAATGGTTTCACTACTAAAATACCACATGACTTAATAATAGGACTCAGGCCATATTTTAGCGGCGGAGATGCGGTAAGATACCGCTTAGTAAATTGTCCGTGTTCGAAGTTGACGGTCAAACTGTCCTTAGATTTGAATGTTCGACCATGAACTGAAAAGCGGGGTGTTTGGACCATCGCTATCTTTAGAGTCATAAGCACTGGGAACAGGGGACCTAAGGAACCAAAGGCTCCTTTGGGGGTGGGTGCTATGCAGGGACAGACTGACAACTCATGGGGCCCCCAGGCAATAGGGGATCATGGGGCTCCTGTGTCCTCGCCCACACTCAAATCACACCCAAAAAAGCCTATGAAAGGTACCAGGGACATCTCTTGGGGCCCCCTACTGACCCCGAGCCCTCGGCCAGTGCCCGAGTTCCCCAATGGTCAGTCCGCCCCTGGTGCTATGAAACATTCTGAACCTAACTAAGAGAGTAACCAGCAGCACAAGGGACATTTTGCATTGAATATAAGTGCTATCTCTTGTGATGACTTTAACCATTAGCCGCCCGGCCAATGGCCGTTTGGCGGCTTGAAAAGCGCTGCAGCTTTCCGGGTGCACGCCATTTGGCGTGCTCCCGCACATGCGCGGTTTGCGCGGCTGCAGAGCGACGCAGCAGTGCGATCTGTCACCGCCCGTGCACCTCGGACACGGCCGATGACAGATCCGAGTACCGGCTCCCGTTGCCGGTACCATGTGACCTGCTGTGACCAATCACAGCAGGTCACATGACAGTTGTATACAATGGATGGTTTCATTCATGATGCCATCCATTGTATACTAGTGCCTAGCTGTGAATGGTCACAGCTAATCACATGCACATGCCATGTGCTTAGCTGTGACCAAATCACAGCTAAGCACAAAAAAAAAAAAAAAAAAAGCTGAATGAATCGATTTCATTCAGGTAAATGCTTGCTTATAGCAAAGTAATTCTTTGCTATAAGCAAATTGTGTAAAAAAAAAAAAAAAAAAAAATACTGATCACTTCCCCAAAGTAGTACAGTGTTACTATGGTAACATTGTACTATTTTGGTCATAGTAAAATATGAAAAAAAATCTTAAAAAAAATAAAAATAAATGTAATAAAAAATTAAATATAATAAAAAAATAAAATTAAAAAAAAAAATATATATATATATTTTTTTTTTTCATACTGTCACCAGTCAGTGTCGCTGTTCACC